CTACAGATCTAAAGTTTAAAAGATGCTTGCTCAGCTGTTTAGCTGTCAGCTTATGATTTGAATCCAAGGCGGAAGAAAGTAGTTCCTCATACAAAAGGATTTTGAAACTCTCCATGTTTGATTTTGTTTTTATATACACAATTATGCCGTCAAACTGTTGTATAAGCGCAATATCACACTCGTAGCAGTGCAATATGGCTGTATATCGGCACTGGTGGGGGCACTAACGCACGCCTTCCACCAGTGCCGATATACAGCCATATCCCACTGCTACTGGTGTGATATTTCTCATATATATATATATATAGTTTCTCATATATATATATATATATAGTTAGTTTTTTATATAAAATGATGTAGAAAAAGCAAAATAAATGTTTTCCTAATAAATAAAGCTTTAAAATAAGCCTAAATAAGCTTTTAAAATAGCATTTTCTCTAGATAATCAGTTTGGGCCTTCAAATATTTATGTGGGCCTCGAAGTGAAAAACCCCTGATCTATAGCACCTTCAGTCCAGCTCTTTTAGACTAACTAGAACTCTGTTAAGCTGCTTTGACACTATCTACATTGTTAAAAGCGCTGTATAAATAAACATGAATTGAATTGAATCTTAAAATACCCCCTTTCCTGTGCATCTGCATCGCTGACATAGGTAGAGAGAGCTGTTAGCGTAGGCGTCAGGCTGTCTGTGTGGGTTGTCTATATGTACAGGCGGTCTTCCACGACGCTCTCATCATGTCACGCCTCCGCTTTGCTTCCATTCATCAGCACTCTAATAGCCCAGCTGATAAACATCCCCATTTAGAAAGAGCGCGGGTCGATCCATCCACATGTTCTGAGCAGGCCAGGGCAGCGTTCACCTGGGTAGGAGCTGTAAGCTAGTAGTTAAGTTAGACTCTCTTTGGGTCGAGTCAACCTGGTCTCCTCATCTCCCTGCTAGGCTTGGGTAACTATCCTCAGGACCCCTCTGCCTACGGACCAACGCGTCCTTCTCACACTTATGTACAGGAAGAGCAGGGATATAGCGCAGGTAGGTGAGCAACTGCATCCTACAATCACTCAAACCCAATAGAACAAACAGCTCATGCGGTTTCTCACGCATCGCATGTGCAATATGCATTCGCCGTATGCATATTCTACATCTGCTCGAGGCATATCACGGGATATACTAAAGCACAGCTACAGGTCATTCTGAGGGACGCATGCTTAAAATGAATATCTGAATGTCTGATGAGGCTTCACTAGATGGCATTGCATCTGGTATGGCTTGTAGCTGTCGTTTACTATATGCCCAGCACTGACAGCTTGCTTCAGATCCTTTTCTTTTCAGTCACCGCATTGCTTTGCTGCCAAAAGGATGATCTAATGTGTCTACTGGGTTTTCTGTGGATTTCGCTCCCCTCATGCAGCGTGTGACAGTCACCGCTGAACAAGTCTGTGCGAATTCGGCGGCCACTTAAAATTCTTTACCTGACTCTTTCGCCCCATTCACACGGGGCGTCAGCGCCAACGCTTTCCATTCACTTTGAATGGGTGTCGTCAGGCGTTGCCGAACTGCATTGTGGATCCGTCTGCGCCGCTTCAGAGGCGTTGCTCGCAGAAGTTGGGAACAGCTTTTCAACTTTTCAAGCGCCGACGGAAGCGTCAGCCAATCAGATCGCTGTATGCAAATACACCAGCTAGACAGTGGCCTATTGCTGACTGAATTTCATTGGCTGACGCTTCTATGACGATCACTTCAACCCCAACTTCAGACACGCCTTCAGTCAAGCGTTGACGCTGAAACCCCGTGTGAATAGGGCGTAAGGGTGCTTTCACACCTGTGAATCGATTCAGTTGTTCCGAAACAGAGATTACAATTGTTACATTGTTGCTCTTTGCTCTTGGAGCGGTTCGCTTTCACACTGCAAAGTTTCTAATCGGACCAAAAGAGCTAAAACAAGTCACGTGCGAGTAAACTCTCCTCACATTGTTCAGAGTGTCAGGGTTTATTTTGCAGCGTCCCGCTCAGCTGTCAGGAGAGGTGGTGATTTGGTGGTGGTGATTGACAAGGTGCGCGCGATGTGCCTGAGGAGAGATGCGGTGGGGAGGGGTGAGAAGGGTGCGCGACGATGCCTATTTGAGGACCGGGAGGGAGACGCGAGATTACCGGGAGATATTTCTCGTTTGCGGGCACTTGGAGACTCGCGAAACTTCCCGCCCTACTCATAATTCTCTCTTCATATAGCCGTAAGCCTATTACATATCCATAAAACACTGTGATATAACCGCGCTCGGATCGGATCGCTTTCTCACTGCAATCGAACCGCTCCAGGGTTCGTTTCAATCGAGCCGAGACCACCTCATTCAAGCAATCTCGGAGCGATTACTTTTGCGCGGAACAGAGCGCGATTGCCCTGTTCACATATGCCAAACGAACCGCGCTAACTGGGCAAACGAGATACGTTACGAAACAAAAGTGTAGGTGTGAAAGCTCCCTTAAAGTAATCCATTTCTTTTTCATTTGTGCTCATGTAGACTAACGCAGGGGTCTCCAACCTTTTGTGCACCACTTTTGTTTGATAAGTAGTAGCAGAGATAGATGTGTGGGGATTCATACATGACAACATCAAATTGCATGACTAGAAGATGGATAAAACAAACAAAGGAACAACAAGGTTATTATAGTTTTGCAGTATTTAATTCATTTTTATTATTTGGGTACTCTTTATACATTTGCTAGTTGGGTTTAGTTGGGTGCTTTAGATTGATGGTTTTGTTCCAAAACAGGGATTAAAATTGTTACAATGTTTATTTTCATTATTGGTGCGGTTCGCTTTCACACTGCCAAGTTTTTAAATGGACCCATATAGCGAAAACAAGTCACATGCGAGAAACTCTCGTCACTTTGGTCAAAGTTTCAGGGTTTATTTTGCAGAGCCCTCCTCAGCTGTTGTGCGTCCTTATTTAATTTACAGTTGAAGTCAAAATTATTAGCCCCCTTTCGGTTTATTTATTTATTTTTTCTCTTTTTTAAATTTTTCCCAAAAGATGTTAAACAGCGCAAGGAAATTTTCACAGTATGTCTGATAATATTTTTTCTTCTGGAGAAAGTCTAATTTGTTTTATTTCGGTTAGAATAAAAGCAGTTTTCATTTTTTTAAAACCATTTTAAGGACAAAATTATTAGCCTCTTTGAGCAATATTTTTCCGATAGTCTACAGAACAAACTATCATTATACAATAACTTGCCTAATTACCCTAACCTGCCTAGTTAACCTAATTAACCTAGTTAAGCCTTTAAATGTCACTTTAAGCTGTATAGAAGTGTCTTGAAAAATATCTAGTCAAATGTTATTTACTGTCATCATGGCAAAGATAAAATAAATCAGTTATTAAAGTTAGGTTATTAAAACTATTATGTTTAGAAAAGTGTTGAAAAAATCTGCTCTCAGTTAAACAGAAATTAGGGGAAAAAAAACAGGGAGGCTAATAATTCAGCGGGGCTAATAATTGTGACCTCAACTGTATGATGATGAGCAATAAGACAGTATAAGCAAAAAGCTGCACTGTAATTTTGACACCCACAGACATCATCACCAAATATAAATCAGAGATAAAACCTTCTCTTTCAGGGTCGTTGAGTAGAATTATGCATTATAGAGGGAAAGAACAGATAAACCAAGACTGCAGTTCGGTCAATTCTCCTAATGCATTAACAGCTCTTGTAATAGTTCAGCATGCGTTCACTTTCATATTCGACATGAAACGCACATTTGCCGGAAGAAATGACATCCCGCCCTACTCATAATTCTTTCTTCATACAGCCATATACAGTTGAAGTCAGAATTAATAGCCCCCCTGAATTATTGGCCCTCCCTGTTTAATAGCCCCCAATTTTTGTTTAACAGAGAGATTTTCTTAACACATTTCTAAACATAATAGTTTTAATAACTCGTCTCTAATAACTGATTTATTTTATCTTTGCCATGATGACAGTACATAATATTGGACTAGATATTTTTCATGACACTTCTATACAGCTTAAAGTGACATTTAAAGGCTTAACTAGGTTAATAGGGTAAATGCCGAGCTAGTGCTGTTCCCATGCTGATACACTTCCGGTGACCTGCTATTGTGAATTTTTTCCAATTTTATACGGTTCCTTATACAGCATCGATGTTGTAATGTCATTAAAATACATTCAGTTAAATAAACTTTAGCATTTATTTAGTTACTCAAGCGTAAAACGAGACAAAAAGCTGTTTACTCGCACGCGCCCGTCAGAATCGGCAGGCTAGCGCAGAAGCTCCATTGAATATACTGAGGTAAAATAAATGCTCATATTATAAAGACATGGTGGGGGAAATGTAATTTAATGCAGTGCTTCTTGTACAATCTGAGACCCACTTTAAATGGGATATCACTCAGCTCGTGAAGATTGCTGATTTTTAAAGAAAACAGACCTTAAACGCACCAGATTTTGCATTGGCATTCGATTCGCAGGAAGCGCTTAACCCAGGTTACTGGCAAATTAAAAGTCCTATTAGCATGCTTCGGCATATACCCCATTAGGTTAACTAGGCAGGTTAGGGTAATTAGACATGTTCATGTATAATGATAGTTTGTTCTGTAGACTATCGAAAACAAATATAGCTTAAAGGGGCTAATAATTGTTACCTTAAATGTTTTTTTTTTTAAATTAAAAAGTGCTTTTATTCTAGCCAAAAGAAAAAATATTATCAGACATACTGTGAAAATGTCTTTGCTCTGTTCAACATCATTTGGGAAATATTTAAAAAAGAAAAATAATTTGAAAGGGGGGCTAATAATTCTGACTACAACTGTATTTTTAGTTATGTTTTACAGTGAAGTTTGAACGAGCAGCAAAAATAATGTTTTAAGTGTAGCACAAACTGCTGAGGGGGGTTACGAGATGCGCAGAAAGCCTAGTCACACGTCTGCACTGGTTTACTGGTGTTTAATATCCCATCCCTTGTTTTGATGTCTGTTGAGACAGGTTATGGGCAGGACCTGAGTGCTTTTGGTCATAGCTTTGCAGACCCCAGCCAGCCTACTGCCTCATACGCCGCAGCCCCCTCCGCGCCCTCGTCAGGAGCTCCAGCGGCCGCCAGCAGCTTCGGACGGGGACAGAACCACAATGTACAGGGCTTCCATCCCTACCGGCGCTGAGCTGCTGTCCCACACCAACCCTCCCTCCCTCCCCAATGCAATAAACATCGTCAGGGATACAGACGTTTCCAGCACAAGCTGAACTGGATATTGGGATTGTCTTTCTGAAGATCGCAAAGAGCAAATAAAAAAAGGGGTTTTATTGTGTGTAAATTGTAAACAGGGGCTCTACTCCGACAATAGGAGACCACCGTACTCTTCTATATTTTGTAGTAGAACTGAACTACTGAAGTATTTAGCAATAGATTTGGATTGTCTGGTCAAACATCAGCACAGAACAGACGCACCAGACGTCAGCGACAGGGTCTCCCAATTATTCAGCTTTAATTATTATATTAGCGGGGAAATGTTTTTATTTGGAATTTTGTGGATTTTGTTTACTCTACGAGCCTTTTACCATTTTATTTAAGTTTGAAATAGAGTACAAATGTGTATTATACACCTAAACTGTGCAATTTTTTAAAGAATTTTGTACTAATATATGTGCGCTTTTCTCGTTTTTTTATTTAAGGATGTAGAATTTCCTCAGGTGGCTGTTGGTGCACTTTGCACTTATGCAAAAAAAGAAAGTTTAAAAAAACACACACAAAAATGAGAGTTTATTTGAAATAAATGATTTAAAGAAGCTATGTTGTGACAGTTTATTGAGTTCACGGTACAATGGGGTATATGCACACACTTTTAAAAAAAAAAATTTTTATTGGGTTTTTCACAACATTAAAACAAAACATTTAAACATCTGAACATCACATTACAACAAAACAACTCCAGGATAACATACTAAACTTCAATAAATAAATAAATAAATAAATAAATAACAACAGTAAGAAAAATAAATAAATATAAAAAATAAAAATTAATGAATACATAAAAATAAAAAAATTCTAAATAAATAAAAATAAAAAGAGTCAATATAGAGTATATTTCTTTGCACACAACATCAAAAGTAGTTCACTGTTTGAACTTGATGTTTTATTTAACTTCTATTCTTTTTTTATTTTTTTTATTGCAATAATAACAATACATTACAACAAATACCGATACAAAACTGAAAGAAGTATAGTACAATCAATAGAAATATTACTTTTTGAAAAAAGTGGATTGTAACAAATTTAGAACAAATTAATAAATGTAAAAGAAATTAAAGGGAACAAGAGAGAGAAAAGAAGAAGAAAAATAAATAATTAAGGGCACATAAAGATAAATTAAATTATTGCAGAATATTAAATAAAGCACTTATTTTAGAAGTTTTAATAGCTTTCTTATTGTGAGAGTCTATGATGTTTTTTAAATAAAGAGCTAGTTCTCGTTTAAAAAATAGAAAATTAGGCTTACCATGAGTATATTTGCATTTGTGTATAAAAAACTTTCCAATAAATAAAATGAGGTTTATGCAAAAAGTTGCATTAAGGAATTATTTTCCTTTAATATATAGCCCCAAAATAACATGACGATAGCTTAAAGAAAAATCACCACAAACCTTTTGGACAATTAACTTCTATTCTGCTGTCAGGTCCACTTGGTTGCAAAAGTGTAGAAAGGGGTTCCAGATGCAATAAAAGTCTTTTAACTTCCGTTTGATAATGTACGTTAGTTTTTCCAGAGCAAGATTACAGGACATTTCCTTGATCCATTGATTGGAAGAGGGCCTTTGAGTCTCTTTCCATTTTAATGCAATAACACGCTTGGCCTGCAGACATGCACACACTTTTAATTTCAGCCAGCCAGCCAGCCCCAGGGTAATCGTCATCCCATTCAAAATCACTGCGTTTAAGATGTGATTTCTTTAAACAACAGCAATCATCACTGCCTGGCTGAGATACGATATGAAGTGGGTCTCAGACCAAACAAGAAGCACTGCATTAAACTATATTTTACCACACCATGCCTTTAAAACATGGACATCTATTTTACCCCAGAGTTTTTGTGCTCGTCTTTCTTCTCTTTTTACGCTTTAACAACCAAATGAATGCTTTAGTCTATTTAATTTTAATTACATCACAACATCGATGTAGTAAAGGGAACCTTATGAAACTGAAAATAGACCAGCTTTCGCCGGAAGTTTGTTGTTGGCTTAAAAACGCTTGCTGTGCATATATTGCTTTCACATTTACACAACTGAATCTATTGACTTTTTTAAGACAGCCGGAATATATAAAATCTAAGAGTTGTTTAGTTGTGAGTGGGAAAAGGTAGGCAGTGTCCATGTTTAATAATGCTTGTAACAGTTGAACATTAGGGGCAGGGTACTTATGTCTATAACATTTTTATTTTAATTGTTGTCAATGTCTATTTTTTTTTTTTAGGTTTTAAAATAAGAGATTTCTCAGGGATTTTTGTCTTCACCAAGTGGTGGTAAAGTCTTAAAAGTGCAAATGCTCTATGTTGCTTCAATATGGGGTAAAAAAAAAAAAAAAAAATTATATATATATATATATATATATATATATATATATATATATATATATATATATATATATATATATATATATATATCACATAAAGACAAATTATAATTTAGAATTTAATAAATATATTTTTGGTAGCTTATAAACCAGAAATAATCTCTCTCTCATCATTTTTTGGGCAAATTGTTTTCATGAATTTAAGTGTATATTCTTTCCATTTCTAAAGATGTTCTGTGACGAAAATATTATTTTATATATTATATCTTGTTTAATAAATCCGTTTTGTTTAAATGCACCTATATATATTACACATAATCAGTGAGAAATGGGCAAAAATATGCATTTTCAAAATGGGCTGTATATACATAAATGCATAAACGAGTCCAACCCCTTTCGAAAATGAGCATTTTTGTCCATTTTTGGGTAATGGGTATATGGGGAATTTTGTGCATTTGAACAAAACAGATTTATTAAACAATTACAACATTTATAATGTTTGGTCACCGAACAACTTTAGAAATAGAAAGATAATAGGCCTACATTTAAATTCAAATAGGTCATTGCAAAAAACAAAAAAAAACAATGTTTTACTATTTATGTTTCTCTTTTATCTGTTTATTAAAATTATATTTAATATTTCCACCTGATGTATCAATTTATTTTCGCAAATGTATTATAATATTTATCTATCTATCTATCTATCTATCTATCTATCTATCTATCTATCTATCTATCTATCTATCTATATATATATATATATATATATATATATATATATATATATATATATATATATATATATATATATATATATACATACATATCTATGTGTGCGTGCGTGCGTGCTGGTCAAACGTCTGGGCTCAGTGAAATTTTTAAAGCCTTGAACTCACCAAAGCCAAAGACTAGGAACTTTGCCGAACCTACTATTATTGACCGATTCATTTAATGCAAACATTTTTAAATAAAATATATTTTATTGCGTTTTAAAGAAAATTCTTGTGCTGCAAAGCTGATTATCAACATCATCTGTGGTATTTGTTTAATTATTCAAAAGGGCAGCATTTAGGTCTACTTTAGACAAAACTGCTGTAGCAAATAGGCTACATGTGGTCACATTTGATCCACTTATTACGTCTTTTCTGGGCATATTGTCAGGCTCAATTATATACATTGTTTATATTCTGTTTTTACGTGAAAAACTTACTTCCTCCTCCTCTCCGCAAGATGGCGGCTTTCCAAAGTCGTCATGAAGAATGACGGAACTCTCGCGATATTACAGCGCCTCTCCTGCTTTCTTCCTTTTCCGGTAGTCTCTGAAGATGGTAGGTTCATGTCTTTATTTCTGAATAGCTACATCACATTAATCCAAAGCAATCTGTCGTATATACAATGCGAATCAGAACATTAAACACGAGTGAGATGTGTTTAAGATTTAGTGAATGTTACCAGGCCACTATTTAGTGTTTGGGATGAAAGATTAGGTAGATGTTCGTCTGATTAGCAGCTTCAGTCTTGCGCTGCATTTCTCAGTCCGGCATGATGGATCCACGGGAATTTTTAATACGTTATTTTTGAGTGGCGTTATGAAGCACCGCGTTTTAACGTATTTAGTCGTTTATTTGTTATTGAAGTCACGGAGAGAGTCGCGGTAATGTCTCCCAGCAGCGGCTAACAGTGGTTGTGTTTCCCGCAGGCGGACACTGAGCAGAAGAAGAAGCGTACCTTCAGGAAATTCACCTACAGAGGTGTGGACCTGGACCAGCTGCTGGACATGTCCTAGTAAGTAAAAATTAAAAACATTTTCGCTCCACACTGTTAGTAAAGACAAAGCTTTATGTAAACTTTTTTTTTAACTATCGTAGTCTGATGTGATGCATTTCAAAGTATACTTGTTCGACGCATGCGCAATAGGTCATATCGTGGGACATTTCATTCATAAATGTTTAGCGATCATATCTTAAGGTATTGCCAAGCCATGTAACGTTAGACATGTAAAATTATCGTCCTGCTGATTAACTAACTGCTGCAAAATGTGAAAAGTATTCCTTTCATAATTTGTTCACCTTCAAATTTATTCCAAAGTTTTGAGCTTGTTTTAAAGAGTGTTCGAGTGTTTTCACACCTGCCTCATGTAGTCCGATTAAATGGCACTAGAGTTCATTTTCCCTCTCGGTGTGGCTCGTTTGGGCAGGTGTCAGTGTAGCAATCGTACTGTAGTAAGCACCAAAAGCATACCAAGATCTCCTTAAAGAGGAAGTCTCTGTGCACTTTCAAACAGACCTTGTTTGTGGTGAATTATGATCCGAATTTAAACTGACCCAACCGCAAGAAGTACTGCGCCTTTTTGGACTAATCCAGCTGCCGTAGGCCGATGTGCTGTGCATCATGGAATGTGTAGGAAAATATTTGTTGACAGCGCTTTATCGAGAGAGAGAGAGGGAAAACCATTACCTGATGAATCGTTGGTAATATTTCCGGAAGATGACTATGTTGCAGTTTAGCTAAATTAATTCACGCCTCCTCCTGAAGTGACGTGCGATGCGTCTTTGCCGTTTGCAATGCATTAAAACATTTTCCAGCCGCATTTCATTTTTTAAATGTATAGTCTGTCCAAAGTGATGTATGCAAACTATATAGTATACTATAAGCAGGGATACAATCAGTCAGCGCAGTCGTAGCTCCATATAGTCAAAAGCGACATGTTGTGTTCACCAGTTTGTTAACTGCGGCATTGGCATTATCCCGCACGTGAATTCTGACCAATCGAAAAGCAGTTTAAGAAATGTGTTCAATAACATCTGGCCAATGAGTGATGTGGATTTTATCAGATGACTCAATTTTGGTTCTTTTCTACTGATTCGGACCAAAGCAATCAGTGTGGTGTAAAAACCACCCAAAAACAGAAGAAAATGCTACAATGTATCAATTTTTGCCCTGCGTCCAGACCAAAGGAACCCAACTACAGACGGGAAAGCACCCTTAGAAACTTTTTGCCACTGACTAACATTGGATACCAGTGTCCAACATTTTTTAAAATATCTACATTTTCTTCTTAAACGGAGTATAAGAAACCCCTAAAGGTTTGGAGTAACTTGAGTGTCAGAAGATTTATATTTTTGGCGTGCACTGTCGCTTTAACTATGCGCAATATGCTGATCCTCATGTCAATTGTTGGAAAGTCGTAAATGAAACCGGAACAATGGGCTAAATGCACAGCTAGTGTTTTTCAGCCAATGATAAACTTCTGGTGAAAGCTTAACGTGACGGTTTTCATTTTCATAAGGTTTCTTTTACACCATCAATGTTAATGTCATTCAGTTTAATTGCCTGCTTCAGGTCCCGTTTACACTAATACATTTAGTTTTAAAACGGCATTTTAGATTGATAATGATCTGCATCCACACTAGCGTTTCTGAACAGCTCTCCGTCCATACTACAGCACTGAAAATGCAAATCACGTGACCACACACACACACACACTCAGGCATGCGATGCAGCGTATGTGTACGTCTGAGCATCATTCAGTCATTACTCAGATGAGAGCAGCGCATGTCGGACTGTTCATCAAGGATCTACCGCTGGATCTAGTCTCACTATATTTGTTAAACGTGATATTTAAGGCGTCATCGTTGTCTATATCTAACCACATATTCCCCGACTTTGGTCTTTTAAATCTATTACTTGTTCTCAGGTTATGTGTTTTAGCCAAGCGCAGAGATAAGTAAATATTCGTTTATGTAAGCGCGTACACTGATTCTGCACATTTGACTGATTGCTTGCCTTTATTTATTGTCTATAATGTATAATAAACTTATTGTACGTTATACTTTTATAATGGCCATTGTTGATTATTAAAACACTGATATTCAGCTACAGAGAGGGCATGTTGCGTATTGTCAATGAAAATAAAAGGAGGCAGTAATGTCATAGGCTCTGTTTTGTTATGCATACAGTGAAGATGACATTATATAAACATGAAGCTACACAGCGCCTCAACATTTTTAGTGTCTGTTGTCAATATCAAAATAAAAAAGGCAGTTTCTTATGTTTTCATTTTACTGTAGCCAGAGTGATGCAAATGAGGTTATTAAACACACTGCTCCCTTTGAAGATTTACCCAACGTGTCCTCTGGAGTTTGTTTTCCATATCAAACTTGCAAAGTCCAATAGAGTCTGGCTGCAGATTTGCACTTGCACGCTCAGAATAACACGCTTCCTCTGCAAGTGACGTCATTTACAATCGGCACTTGTGGCCGCTTGCATGAAAGTCCTTTAGTCATTTAACTTAAGGGTGTCCCTGAGGCGTAAAACTCTGAGGTAACGGAATTCATTAAGATCGTTGCAACAAACTTCTTATCGGTCACTCTTTGACCTGAGTGCCTTTTTTCTAAGCGTTTCACTACTGTACTTTCTGTCCTTGTGTACAACTTGAGTACTTAAAATTATTTGACAATGTCGTCACTGTCATTGCAAACAAACTAGAAACTTACTTTTGGTTTACTTGTGTTGATTTCAAGTGACGTGACAGGTGCAGGTGTCGATTGTAAATGACGTCACTCGCATAGGAAGGGTGGGTGCCTGAGCGTGCAAGCCTGGAGGTGCAAGTGACACTCTGCAGCCAGACCCTTCTCACAAAGTCTGAACTTACAAGGAGAGCATTCAAGACTGAACTGTGTGCACTTAATATTGAGGAAGAAGCCCCAATCAGAGAGGAGATTGTCTTCGTTTTCCCCCGTCCAAACTAACACGGGGCAGCAGCGTTTTAGCTTTTTCAAAATGCTCTGTTTCCGGCGCTCAAACTCTGACATAGTGTGGACGGATGGCATAACTGTAGCAAAACTCGTGTGTAAATAGGCCTACGTAGTTTTAAGTGTAAAACGAGAGGAAAGACTAAAATCAGGAATCAGGAGAAACTCCATTGAAAATACTGGGGTAAAATAAACTCGTATTTTAAAGACATGACAGGGGGAAATGTAAATGAATGCAGTGCTTCTTGTCTGGTCTCAGACCCACTTCATATCATACATCTAAAAATCATTGAATTTGAAAGAAATCAGAACTTTAACGTGGCAGTTTTATTTGTTTGGAAAGCCCGTTCACTGGAAGTGCTGAGGCTGGATGTCTAAAATTAATAGCCCGTCCACTTTCAATGCTAAATTAATAGAGAGTTGTTATTTGTGGGATTGAAATCAGGTGTAAATGGTTTGATCTAATGCTGCTTTCACTTCTGAAAGATTGCCTTTATTGCCAGACCACAAAAAAATTAAGATAACACCAAACTGAACTGAAGAACTGAACTGAGAAAGTTTTGCTACAAATTGGTGTGTTTGATAATTGGTTCGCAATGTCAAAGCAGCACAGACAGACTTTATTTTGTTCTTTTTTTAAGTCCTTGCCAGTTTAATTTATAAATGTGGAGAATAGAGAAGACTGACGAAGCTTTTGTGTTGTTGTACCTGTAGTGAGCAGCTGATGCAGCTGTATAGCGCCAGGCAGAGGAGGAGGCTGAACCGCGGCCTCAGGAGGAAGCAGCAGTCTCTCCTTAAACGCCTCCGCAAGGCCAAGAAGGAGGCGCCACCCATGGAGAAGCCAGAGGTGGTCAAAACTCACCTGAGAGACATGGTCATCCTGCCCGAGATGGTGGGCTCCATGGTCGGCGTGTACAACGGCAAGACCTTCAACCAGGTGGAAATCAAGGTGGGGATGAATCCTGCACTGGTGATGTGTCGAATGCGTTTTGCATTGAATATCGGTGCTGCTCTTTGTGGCTTTCAGAGTAAAACGTCTCAAGACTAAGCCATTGAATATGGAAAATATTGAGTAATGTCATAATCGGCAGTCCTATTTTTGAAGTTGTAATGAATTTAGACTCAACAGTGTGCAGTTAATGATTTATTTATTTTCCGTTTGTCTCTCCAGCCTGAAATGATTGGTCATTACCTGGGAGAGTTCTCCATCACTTACAAGCCTGTTAAGCACGGTCGTCCTGGTATTGGAGCCACTCATTCTTCCCGCTTCATTCCTCTGAAGTAAAAAGTCGATGAGTATGTAAATAAAAGCCTCCAGAAGAGCCTCTGCTTTAGTCTGTCTTTTCTTTCTGCTTACCTCACATTTATAATAATGCTGAAAATAGTTATTGAACTTTATCCAGTTCAATCTTTTCAATCCAGCCTACATCAATAGTTGTTCATTGATTTATTTTTGGTATGGTTTAGTCAGACAATCGTGGTCTGTTCTGCTCCAAAACAATAGGGTATATGCCAAGCTAGTGTTGTTCCCATACTGATAAACATCGGGTGACCTGTTATTGTGAGTTTTTTCCATTTTATACGGAGCCTTTTACAACATTGATATTGTAATGAAGTTAAAATACAATCAGTTAAAAAAACTTTGGCATTGATTTAGTTGCTCAAGTGTAAAATGAGACAAAAGCGCGCCCATCAGGATTAGCAGGCTAGCGCAGAAGCTCCATTCAATATACTGGGGTAAAATAAATGTTCATATTTTATAGACATGGCGGGGAAAATGTCATTTAATGCAGTGCTTATTGTACAATCTGACACCCACTTTATATCAGATATCACTCAGCCAGTGGAGATCACAGATTTTTAAAGAAAACGGACCTTAAACACGCTGATTTCCCAACGGCATACAGTTTACCGGAAACGCTTAAGCCAGGTTACTGGCAAATTAAAAGTCCTATTAGCATGCTTAGGCATATACCCTATTGGTCCAAGATCACCTGAATGAGGTGATCTCAATTTGGTTGTAGTGAGAAAGCAATCTGATCCAACCAACAGCCTATATCATAGTGTGTGTGTGTATATATATATATATATATATATATATATATATATATATAAGGGAGAATGAGCAGGGTAATGTCATTCCTCGTAGTAAAAGTGTTTAATGTGAAAGTAATGTGTAACTGAACTGCTAAATATATATTTGTATCGTTAGCTTTTTGTGTAACTTCTGACATAGAATTGATAAATATTTTACAGCTCTCGACAATTGAAATGAGGCTGACAAATTCTTACCTGATTTGTATTTGGTGATGTCTGTGGTAGGCTTGGGCGGTATCCAAATTTTGAGACTGTCAAACCTCCTCCCTGTTTTACCCCGGTATGCGGTATTACTGTGCATAATAAAAAAAATATGACGTAAGGCTCAGACAGCGTCACCAAACTGTTGGCTTGTGCCTAAATCATTGAGAAACTGAATACCGTATATGCGACCTGAGGTTCGCGGTTCATATTAGAGATCTGCGTGGGACACACACACACACAGATGGCGCTAGAGAGATTCACAGCATCTCTCTCTCCTCCACACTGTCCCGTCATGACAATCACGCATACGCATTTAATAAATAATATTTAATATTATTTAATACTTGTTTCCTATTTAAGTGCATTGTTTTTACGTCGGTATAATGGTATTAAAACTGACACCATTGCCATTTTTAGATCCCGTATACCATATTACCGCCCAAGCCTAGCCTGTGGTTGTTACCATTCAAAATTAAAGTGCACCTTTCACTAAATTTCTCATCATAGGTTAAAATGACAGCTGAGTGGAAATAAACCAAACTCATCACCAACAAGAGGAGAGTTTACTGGCATCATCGCATGTGACTTACTGTTTTGCTTTGTTTAGAACAGGAGTGTCCAAACTTGGTCCTGGAGGGCCGGTGTCCTGCTGAGTTTAGATTTAACTTGTTCAACACACCTGCCTGGAAGTTTCTAATAGGAGCTTAATTTCAGGTGTTTGATTAGAGTTGGGGATAAACTCTCCAGGAGAGTTTGGACGCCCCTCGTTTAAAAAATTTACTGTGTGAAATCAAACTGCATCAAGGACAAGCAAGACCAACCATTTTAACCTGTTTCAGAACAAAACAGGTGTGAAAGCACCCTAACATAAAATTTCTGTCAGCATTTTCATAATTTCCCTGATTAAACTGAGTAATGCAGTAAAAATATGCTTAAAATAGAATCTGATTATTACATTTATTAAGGTTACATTAACAAAAGCTCAACCCTAACTGATGTTTTACCTGAATGTGGTCGACATGGAAGCTTCTGCACATAATTCAACAGTTTATGGCCTATCACTGAGTCTTGTTGTTTTAACCTGTAGTTGCACTAATTTGTAAGAACATGAGTCAAGTCGATGGCTTTTATTGTAAAGTCACCGTATCTGACAGTATTTCAGCAACAGTGCTGGAGTCATCTGAACATAAAAACACTTCACTAATGAACGTTTCAAATAAAACTTTAACCCATGTATGAACTGATGGACATCAGCTGATGTAGTCAAAAAAAAAAAAAAAAACTGGCATAAATAAATACAAAATATTAGTCTATTAGATTCAACAGCAGCAGCAGTGCTTATATTCATCCCTTATGTAATGTGACATTTTCAGCCTTAACATTTACATCATATGGCATACAAGTATATATAATATCCCATGGTAGAAATAAAAAATCACTTGGAAAGGACTGTGTCACAGAAAAGAAGACAACCTCTAGGAATCGTCCTGCTCCAAAACTGGAATTATTAAAGTAGACACTCGTGCTTTTAGACCAACTGTTTTAAACCAGCTGTTGAGTATCCAGTGATATCCAATGTTCAGAAAGCTCCATTAAACTTGTTCTATCACACGAGCCCAATGCTTCACCCCAGCACATGTATATTAGGAAAAAGCAGTTATTTCTTGCCCTTAGATTTGATGTCCGCTACTGCCGGGGCTTCTGTGGCGGTGTTGGTTGTTTTAGGTGCAGTTGTCGGTCTTAGCAAATCAGGTTGAGATTTGGAGGGTGATTTCGGGGCAGTTTTAGGTCTGGATGTGTCTTCTGGAGATTTGGTGTTGGTCTTTGTCGGCGCTGCTTCCTGTTTGGGCTTTGAGGCGGTTGCTGGCTGCCACAAGAAGAACTCGTGTAACAGAGTGTTGACTACATCAGGACACTCCATCATAACCATGTGGCTTCCGTCATCCAGAACCTTCAGGAAACCCAGCAAGAGGATCTACAAGGTGACAGAAACAAAAGTTGTGTGTCGGCACTGATTAACAAGGACATTTGTATAACGGCACGGCTATGAGGTGGTTTATAATTCAACCACAATTAAAAACGCTTAAAGTCAAAGTTAACATGCTATTTGGACATACTAAAAAGATGTTTGTTTTGGTAATCTTCGATCAAATTCTGACCATTTGCTTCAGCATTTCGAGCCACAGTCCTCTGTTGATGTCGGTTTGACAGAGAAGGACAAAACAAACAAAATCTAAAATATCTTAAAAGGGACCAATCATGCCCCCTTTTATAAGATGTAAAATAAGTCTGATGTTTCTACTGTGTGTGTATGTGAAGTTCAGGCTTAAAATATTCCACAAATAATGTTTTAACTCTTTGAAACCACCCCTTTTAGGCTTTAATCCTAATAGTGCCATTTTAGTTACTGTCACTTTAAATTCAAATGAGATTTTGAAATGCTATTTTGAAAAGAGGGAGGAGCTACAAATGTCTATGTGTCAGCATAGTGGCAGATTCAAAATAGTGATAGGTTATGACTCGGGAACTATGAGTCATCTCAGGGACTGAGACATTTGTGCAGGTTGTATCGTTCATTTCAAGTCTTTTGAGTTGTTCATCGCGGAAAGGCAGAAGCCAATCATATGCGTTTAGAGCCGGAAAAAGAATTGAACCGTTCATCTCTCAAGTCCTCGGGTTTGAGTCATTCTATCACGGGATGAACAAACAACTTAAGAACCAGAAGACTTGAAAGGTGAACTAATTATCATGGCTCCTATCGACTCAGACTGTGTACATTGGTATAGATTATATGTGACTGTCAGTGAAACGTGAACGAACCACTGACATTTGAAGACATGAAGAGGTGAGCTGAGCAAAGAGACAACAATACCTTCATAGTCAAAAGAGCAGGTAAACATTGAATTATTATTTTCTCCTTCTTTTAGTATTTTATTTATGACTTATTTGTCGTGTGATCAACCTTTTGGGCTAGTTGTAGATGTGTTTGGAAGCAATTCGTAACATTTTAATAATATTTTGGCAAATTGAACCAAATGAACGAAATGACTCGAAAAAAAGATTCGTTCATCTTAATAAACGAGACTCAAAGATCAGAGTCAGAAAATCGATTCAAACTTCCCATCACTAATTCAAAAACAAGACTAAGGCCATATGCTAATGAGGGAGAGATGATCTTAGAGACTGTTTTTAATCAATCGTGATTATAAAATATGAAGCTGGTTATTTTCACAGACTGCTGCCACACAACCGTTTAAACCCATTATAAAAATGTTTTTGCATAATAGGTCCCCTTTAAAACTCCATCTCTGTACCTCTGCCATGCGCTGGTCCTCTTGAACTGGTACAAACTTGTCATACATGCCGTGAACCAGCAGAACAGGCACTGTGATTTCAGCATGGTAAACCTCGTCACCCTCCGGCCAGTACTGTCCACTCATCATGGACCTCAGAACGAAGGAAGACACGTTGAAGGCATTGTTCTCTTTCAGTAATTTCTTTTCCCTTGTTCCCTGATGGGCAAACCCAGCCCTTAAAGAGGGGGAAATGCATCTTCGTTAGTACAAAATAGACAAGGTGGTGGTCAAAACATGTTTACTTGTATTTATGCTAGAAAAGGGCAAGGCAGAGATGAATGTGTCCTGAAAGCATTATTCTTACATGAGGAAGCTCCAGGTGAGGCACGGGGACAGAAAATTAAGGACACATGTGGGCAAGTTGAAGACAGAGCAGAGACTGGGCTCGAGTGCTGTGGGCCCGCCGCCATTTATCATCACAAGTTTATGAACCTGTTCTGGATATTCATGAGCCAGGAAGGTACAAAATGAGACTCTGTTCAAAGACAGAAAATACTGTGATTATTGGGGGAAATCATGAAGCGTTTACAGCTGAGGTGTCCAAACTCGGTTCTGAAGAGTTTAGCTCCTACCGTAATCAAACACACCTGAACCAGCTAATCAAGCTCTTACTAGACATACTAGAAACTTCCTGGCTGGTGTGTTGAAGCCCGTTGGAGCTAAACTCAACAGGACACTGTTCCTCCAGGACTGAGTTTGGACACCCCTGGTTTACAGGGTTCTTACACCTTTTCCGAAGCACTTTTCAAACACTTCCCACACTGTATATAATGTTGGGTTCCACACAATGGATTTGTGATGGGACAACATAAATGAATAAGGTTATCTTAATTGTTTTATATTCAATCCACTTACATTAGTATAAACTAAAAAGTCAAGAATTGTGTTTCAGGGTGACGCAGTGGCGCAGTAGGTAATGCTGTCGTCTCACAGCAAGAAGGTTGATGGTTTGAGCTAAGTCAGTTGACGTTTTTGTGTGGAGTTTGCATGTTCTCCCTGCATTTGGGTGGGTTTCCTCCGGGTGCTCTGGTGTCCCCCACAGTCCAAAGACATGCGGTACAGGTGAATTGGGTAGGATAAATTGTCCGTAGTGTATCAGTTTGAATTACTGTGTGTGGATGTTTCCCATAGATGGGTTGCGGCTGGAAGGGCATCCGCTGCGTAAAAACGTACTGGATAAGTTATCGGTTCATTCCGCTGTGGCGACCCCAGATTAATAAAGGGATAAAAAGTGTGGCAAATTACATACGTCTTCACATTATATCAGACGCTACTTGTTATAGTTTTCTATTTTACAGTATTTGTCCTCTAAGTCAGGGGTTCCCAAACTTTTCAGCCCATGACCCCCAAAATAACAATGTCATTGACTCGCAACCCTCAAACTCCTCGGAGATGGTTATAAATATTCAGATGTTGCGCACACAACAATAGGCCTATATAGACACAAGCATATTGACAACACAAAAGTAGTACAACATTCTGACAACCATGTCATTTTATAGTCATTTATTAATGACTAATTTAATAGTTTAATTTAATATTAACCTTACCTAAAGAGACTGGTGGGCACAACGGTTTCAGCTCAAGTCTATTCTTGGTTTAATTTTGAAAACCACCATTTGGAGATTATTCTCAGTGTTTGCAGGGGCGTAGGGGGGCGGGGGGGCGGAGGGACACGTCCCCCTCACTTTTTGGAAACAGGCGATTCTGTCCCCCGACTCACCCACATGTTTAATTTGACCTGGCAGCCGCAAATGTTCTCTGATTTGTTACTTGATTTGAGTGAACGATCACTCAGCCAATCACAGCGCGAATCTCTTGAGCGTCTGCCACGAGCCTCATTCATTCACTTTGCGGTTTGGGTGACGAGTAAAAATGCACCCCAAAAAAAAGGAGAGGACGATTACATTCTTTTTATATATCGCGATTGCACACATCACACATTTCCATGTTGAGATTTAACCTATAGGTATACTGGGCGAAGCAGTGGCGCAGTAGGTAGTGCTGTCGCCTCACAGCAAGAAGGTCGCTGGTTCGAACCTTGGCTCAGTTGGTGTTTCTGTGTGGAGTTTGCATGTTCTCCTTGCCTTCGCGTGGGTTTCCTCCGGGTGCTCCAGTTTCCCCCACAGTCCAAAGACATGCGATTGGCAATTGGGTAGGCTAAATTGTCCGTAGACAAGACGTAGAGTGTGTATGTGGATGTTTCCCAGAGATGGGTTGCGGCTCAAAGGGCATCCGCTGTGTAAAAACTTGCTGGATAAGTTGGCGGTTCATTCCGCTGTGGCGACCCCGGATTAATAAAGGGACTAAGCCGACAAGAAAATGAATGAATGATTTAACCTACTGAAACGTCTGAAGACTACAATGGTCCTACTACTAATGTTACCCGTGCGAATCTCGTCACGTCGTGGCGGATTCAAATGCTCGGTTGCTTTGCATAAAAACGCATTTGGCTAATTAGAAATAACAGATTATCGGGTTGGTCTGTGTTTATTTTTAATGTATTTGATTGCCATAAAGGTGTCAGAAAGTTTAACCTGGTGCTATAAAATCAATCCGCTGCAGCTGACGCTATTGCTGTGTTGTTAATCTAACGTAAACACACCAATCCTATGAAAAAAAATTATTGAAGGCAACAATTTTATTATTATTTTTTTTACAATAATTAGTTACAATTATTGTAACTATTAATTATTATATATTAATTTGGAAAATCACCAAGCGACCCCCACTTTGGGAACCACTGCTGTAAGTATAGAGTATTACTTATATTATAATGTTTGTCCCAGGGCCTACATTGAATTACTGTTAAGTACTCATGGAGTGGTCATCTCCATGCATTTTCTTTTCATTTTATGCGTAAAATTATTTATGTGAAATAATTTTAATAGTTAAATATCACCTATATTTAGTAAGATTACGCTTTCAATCACTTTACTTAAGAACTTTTCAATCCTTGCAAACACTAAATTAAAATTCAAGCTTTTTCAAGGATTTTCTGCACCCAGGCAAATAAACAAATCCGTAGACCAATCCTCACCCATATGAGTGTCCAACTAAAATATTCCTCCGCTTCGCATATCGCTTGAATATGATTCTGACGTCCTCAGCCAGAGCATAAAAGGTATAGGCAGCAGGAATGCGAGGGGCTGAGCTTGCACCGTGGCCGGCCAGGTCCATGGCGATGACTTCATATCCAAGTTGGGAGAAAAAGTCCAGCTGGCTTCTCCAGATATCCAGTGATCCCCCAACGCCGTGTATGAAAAACAAAGCCACGTCGGGATGAGTACCTTTGCAGCAAGTAATCTTCCGCTCACAGTCGATCACGATTGAGCGTTTGGGTTTTCGGCGCCTACGGTGCACCTGCTGCTGTTCCTGTGGGGCAGGTTTGGTTTCTGCAGCCTGTCCTCCTGCTGGGGTCTCAGTAGCCTGGCCTACCACAGGAGACTCACAGTTGGAGACCTCCATATCCACAGTGCTGTCTCCATTCTGATAGCGCACCAGCTCTGGGTGCGTGGCTTCGTTGACATTCTCAATAAGAAGCTGTCCGTTTCTGTACACTGAGATTTTACGCTTGCAGCTCACTGTACCGCCTTCCCCAGTCCCCGGCTCCTCAACCACAGGTCGGTCTGGGATGATGTGTCGAACTCTCAAAACTCGTCCTGGCTTTACTTCAACAAATTCAAAACCATCTGTGGGCTCAGAGGACTCGACAGGGACAACCACGTTGGTAGACTTCCCTGTAAAGCAGCAGAATATTCCGTCCACAAAGCTGGTGAGCATGGTGAACACCTGGGGAAACAAGAAACATTGTTGGTTCTTGAACAGTTTAGTACTTGCTTTTCTGCTTATTTGGACTGGCACACCATAGTTTGGCTGATCCAGGATCTGTAAACACATTGAAATTAATCCATTAATTTAATCTACCATGTGCTGGGCTACCCAGTTCCTCCTGCCAAAAATGTACCTCAGTGTTCAGCAATGCTGCCTCCTCTTGATGCTGGACGTTGGATTTTGGATATCTTCACATTTCAACTGTTTAACAGACTGCAAGTCTTCCTTTATACACATCTTTATACCACATTATGTTTGTTTAAGCCAAAGAAAAACCCTTTCTATTGTCATTAAAGCGATTATTTCTCTTCCATTTGGGTTCCTTGGTTTCTAATTAATCAGCGTAGATCTGTAACGGAGTTAAATTGATTAAATATTGAACATGAGAGAAAAATTATATTAGAGTTAGTCGCCTAAAGAAAAACTTTTACACTCTAAAAAATAACTCAAGAGGTCTTTTACCACTACATAGTTTAATACATTGTTGTAACCTAAAAATTCTAAATTGTTGATTAGATTAAAACTTGTAAGTTGGCAGAATAATTTTATTACACTTTCAAAACATTTTATTACAAATTACATCAACTTAAAAATGTGGCATATTTAAATGTAAATATTTCTGTCAATTAGTTTAAAACAATATTTAACTAGTAGCAACCCTCCAAAAATTGGGTTGATAATTTTTCTACACTAATAGGGTTGTTTTGTATTTTTAAGTCCATGTTTTTGTTATTTTTCATACAGTTTATATGGGGCAGTAAATGTTTTTGTTTTGCAAAACAATCTGTCGTTTAAAACAAATAAACAATTACTGGAAAACAAAAATGTTGTTGTTAAATGCATTTCATACAAGCAACTAAATGAACAGTAAATTTGAAAGCAAACAAAAAAACTAAACAGTTTCAGCTATTCGAGGTTCTAAACTTGAAAACTCGCATATAATTAAGTACATAACTAAAAAGGATGTACGGATTAGTTTTATATTTTAATTTAAAAACTACATTTTTTGAGTACTCAACTTGACAAATGGAGTTTATGCTACGTAAAAATGCCTGATTGAAGAGAAAAGGGTAATTTGGCTAACCTAATAAAATTTGTTGTCTGAACTTCATTTTGTTAGATGTGGTTGTAACTTGAATATATTAATGCAAACTGTGGCGTTAAATTTTTTTTGTTTGGATTAAGCAATATTTTTTAGAATGTAGGGTTGCCTAGTAGGGAATTGAACGTCTCAGAAGCTAATGTGACTTTCAATCGTCCCTATAGTAATTTTTCTCTCATGTTCAATATTAAATAAAGTTTACACTATTAGAGTTACACTAATCATTTGGAAGACACTTATCCAATGCGACAAATGAGAATAATCAAGCTAAAGAGCAGAGATCCTGTTAGATCAATACATAACAAAACATATTTGACCTATTTTTAGAATAAAAAAAACTAGAGTGTTAATATAGTGTCAATGTTAGAAAGTTAAGTTTTGACCTAAAATGACCCATCTTTACTTGGGTAAATTTGCACATTAGGGGAAATCGGCGACGATAGTAACGTGGGACAAAAACGATTTACTCAAAGCCCTGACATTTACTTTCCAGGCTATAACAGCACATTCAGCATGCAACTCTTAATGGAGCTGCCAAATATCAGCTGATTTCAGGACTGTGTCCGGCTTAAAGATCTAAATTTCCGTTTTTAAGTGCAGAAAGTAAATTTTCCCTATTACGAGTTGTGTTTCTTTTTTCCTGCATTACACTAATGATCTATGTCCAGGTTATTAACTGCAATAACACATCCTTGAGTTTGAAATGTCTGAGTATCTCAGTTTGAAAGTAAAAAAAAAAAGTTTTTTTGAAAAAAAAAAAAAAAAGACAAACCCTATTTTTCACTTCCACGTTACGAAGTGGTTGAAGTGTTTTGATTTAGGTTTTATAAAATGAATGCATGTTGTCAATAATAATAATAATAATAAAAATAATAATAATAATAAAAAATCAACAATTGCAGAAAAAGGTTGTGCATTGTTGGGTTGCTTTTGAAACATTTTAGCTGAAACTTGAAAATGCTGTTTAATATTTTTAGCAACAATAAAGGCAAAATATGTTTGCAGTTCACATTAGCACGGTCAAAGTCAGATATATTTAAAATAAACATGATTTAGCCAGTAAAACTAGCAAATATTGCTGTGTTGATTTTGACCCACGTTTGTGTTACTTCCGCCCCTGCTGACAGGGTCAAGAGAAACATGTGCAATTAATGCTTAAAGTGAAATGATTTTGAAGTTGTTCTACATTTGTTCAAAATACCACGCAATATCAATGCACCACACTTATGAGTTCGAAATAACAGTACAAATACATTTCAGTCTAAATCAGGGGTGACCAACCCTGTTCCTGGAGAGCCACCTTCCTGCAGATTTCAGTTGCAACCCATATCAAACACACCTGCCTGTAATTATCACATGGTGTTCAGGTCATAATTAATTGGTTCAGGTGTGCTTGATATGGGTTGCAAATGAAATCTGCAATAAGGTGCCTCTCCAGGAACAGGGTTGGCCACCCCTGATCTAAATCATTATTGTACTTTTGTCCACCTTCTCCAATAAGTGCTATGACATCTAGAAATACACAGAGAGCAAGATTTTAGGCAGAAAAATATATATAGAATAAATTCCTCTGTAAAAAGTCTTGGTGTCAACTTTGACTCTGAGCTTAAATTTGATCGCTAAATTAATGGGGTTGTCAAAAATATTTTTCTATTTTAGATCTATTGCCAAGCTGAAGTCTGTCCTCTCTTTCAGTGATTTGGAGAAGGTTGTTCATGCCTTCTTGTCTAGATTAATGCAACACATTGTATCTGGGTGTGATTCAGGCCTCTCTCTCGCGACTGCAGCTGGTCCAGAACATGCCAAGCTTTTAACAGGCAAAAAAAAAAAAAAAAAAAATACACATTAAAAAAATCGACAACACATTACACCTGTACTGGTTTCCCTACAGGGCACAGCAGTGGTGCAGTAGGTAGTGCTGTTGCCTCACAGCAAGAAGGTCGCTGGGTCGAGCCTCAGCTCAGTTGATGTTTCTGTGTGGAGTTTGCATGTTCTCCCTGTGTTCGCGTGGGTTTCCTCCGGGTGCTTCGGTTTCCCCCACAGTCCAAAGATATTTGGTACAAATGAATTGGGTAGGCTAAATTGTCCGTAGTGTATGAGTGTTGATGTTTCCCAGAGATGGGTTGCGGCTGGAAGGGCATCCGCTGCGTAAAAAAACAAAAAAAAAAAAACTTGTTGGATAAGTTGGCAGTTCACTCCGCTGTGGCGATCCCGGATTAATAAAGGGACTAAGCTGACAAGAAAATAAATGAATGAATGGTTTCCCTACGCTGGCCACCAATCCAGTTTAGAATTCAGTACAAAGTCTTGCTACATGTTTTTAAATCCCTCCATGGCCTGGCCCCTGAGTATATTTCTAAACTAATTAATATACACACCAACCTGTGAGATCTCTTTGCTCTAGTGATCAACTCTATTTGCAAGTTTCACGATCACGCTTAAAATGTCGAGGTGATGGAGCTTTTTCAGTAGCTGCTCCAAGACTTTAGAAAGATCTTCCACTCCTCATAAGAACTTCTCCAACTTTGGAGTCTTTTCAGAGGTCACTGAAAGCACACATTTTCTTTAGCTTTTAATCGTGTGTTGTAAGTTTATGTACGTTGTCTTCTTCTACGTTTGCATGTATTATGAGTTATGTACAGCACTTTGGTACCCATTTTGCTCTAGAAATATAGTTGAGAATAGAAAACAGATATTTTTTTTCAGTGTGCTTCAAAAAAATAAAACAGTACAAACGTTTTCCTTTTTTTCCCCCAAAAAGAATAGACTCGACATGATTTATAGAAACATTGTTAGGTCCTACCAGCATCTGCACGAATGGCCTATAGCTCAAATGTGTAGTCATTTCATCCGTACTCAAACCTGTAAAAACAGTCCTGTCTGTTAATCTGGTTGGCAATTTTGCTGCCTTTTGGTTAACATTTCAAGACTATAGATTTCATAGAGCTATTAAGAAGCTTCATTTCTCCTCAGCGGGCTCTTAAACAGTGTTTTGGTGTCCACACCAGGGGGTTGCATATGTTCTGCTTAAATTGCCAGGTTTGAGCAGTCAAACACTGACTGTGCTTTAAAGTAATAATTACATGAATAGACCATTTTAATGTGGTCATGTCATTGGCGCATGTTCATTCCCTGCTTGTTGTCAAACTTTATCTGTGACAAGAGGCGATTCAATCATATCTTGATGTTTTAACAGCTATCATAACAATATTTTTCAATATGTGGTACTTTTTGGACTCTCAGAAGCTAGTAAAATGTAAAACAGGAAACGTGTCAGGACCATTATCGTTTACATCCCTCACAATTGTCTATATAAATACATTACTTAAGATTGTCTTGATGTAAATAATGATGTAAATATTTCAACAGGTTTTTATTAGTTTTTTTTTTCAAAAATGACATCCAAACTTAATTTAATAGACATAATGAAAGATATTTAGTTCAGTTGCTGTCAATCAATCAGTTGCATTAGATGTTATGTAACTGATGTGAGCGAATACGTATAAAAAGCAGTGTAAATACATGCTTTCTCTCTTGGCTTTGGCCATGTAGGTTTTCTCCAATTACAGGTAAAAAAAACAGTAAACTGAACGCACTGCATAGTGAAATATCTTACCTGATTACCAATGTTCCCGATACATGAAAAAGCTGGTTGCTGCCTCCAGTTCCTCCTTTGTAATGAAATAGCGCGTTGGTAATCTGCTACCGTCAATCCAATAATCTAATCTAAAAACAATCTCTCCCACACACAAAGAAACCTTCAGAGGTAATTCACAGACATCATTTGACACCCAAAAGAAACGACAAAATCAAAAATGGCCTGTTTTTTTTTTGCCTTTCATTCACTCCTATTTTCCAAATGTGCAAGCCAACATGGTCACAGTAAGAAGTCCAGATTAAAGCGGATTACACCTGTTGAGCATATGCTGTTACAGCCTCGCTGAAAACATGCCACTGCCTCTCCAATATCAACCCTAATCTATTGTCTACAAGATATTCGCAATAATCGAAATGAAGCGTTCTTGACACAACACAAATGTTTATCTCCTTTTATTTTGATTCTGAAAAAAATGTTGACCTTGAACATTGAAGTTGGGAAGGCTTCGTAAGAACAACACACAAACACAGATGTAATTGCAATTGCCTCTTTCAGGTAGATTTAGACGGGCTGCTCTCTGCACGCTCCTCTACAACAGCTTCCCAAAGCTTCCTCATCTCCAAAAATCCTCAATACATGCAAGCTTTTTTTTTTTTTGTCAATGCCGACGGCTTCAATACATTTCAATCTTTTCAACAAGAACAAACCAACACATTTAGCCAGGAAACAGCTGCTTTAACTGTGTTACTAAATGAGTCTCCAGCCACAGTGAAAACAGTATTTACGGGTATGTTGTGGACTCAAAGCACGCTGAATGGATTAAGCCCCACGTGTAAAGGCCGATCGTCCACAACCACAGCTCACCTACTCCCTCTGCAGGTTAAGAGAGGAACTGCATAGTTGCACCTTAAATCTCAGGAAACAAATATATATATAAAAAAAGTAGTAGTTTTTAATCTCAAACCTATGAAATATCCATCATACGCAGAAGCCAAACAGATCCGCAAATGAATCAGCGCACACGGATTAAGTCGATGATCTGCGTCTCAAGGTCTGACTCCAGAACTGCTGAAACTAACACAAGCTTAAATGACAACAGGGGAAAGCGGGATAGACGTTTGTAGGTCACTATCTGCATTTCATCTTATCATCAAAAATGTCATCCTCAACCAGTGACAACAGATAAACAGTCCCAGCAGTGCATTCATGCACAAGTATGCACCTGCTAGGAAGATCGTCACATTACCAACACAAAAACACTACATCTAATCCTGCCGAACGTGGCTGTACATTTCCGTAATTTCCCTTAAAGAGAGACCCTGTGCGTTGAGCGCTTGTGGCGGAGCATATCATGAAAGCAATAGCGGAGATAACTAGGATGTTTTTAAACGTTTAAGCTGCAATAGATTCTAAACAAATGATAATTCTCACACGCCTCTTCATAACAGACACTCCTCATTATGTGCTTGTTGAATATCGCTGTACCCGCCCCCCTCGCCCAGCAGTTCGGAGTTCAGTAGAATCTTTAAGCTGGCAGTGGAAACCCATCATGCCCCCCCCCCAATCCCACACACACACTCAGCACTGGGCAGACGTGCTGGGTGAGGGACACTGACTGCATCAGGAAGCACTCAGTAAAATAAAAAAAGCACACTGTAAGACAAGTGTTCTTCCATTTCTTTCTTTCCGAGATGAAATTCCTGTGTGGTGTGTGCGGGTGTTTGGGCTTATTGTGTCCGTTCTTGTGCTGCTGGATGGTGGGCTGCTCTACGAGTCCTCGTTCATCTCCTGGCTGTCTGTCCGGGCTATTTTGCGTGGAGGTGCTGGACTGCCACCTTCCCCTTCTGCTTGCTCCTGCTCTCGCTTTTTAGCTGCATTCTGGAAGAAAAACAAACCAAAAAAAAAAGTTGAATTTATCATTGCAATAGCTGCATTTCCTGCCAGTGAAGATCAATCATGGCTGTTGCAGTAGATAGTTCATGATGGTGGTTGAAAAATGCTGAGCTTCTGTTAAGTTTTTCATTTCATTTTAATAATAATGCATTTTATTTAAAGGCGCCTTTTCATGACACTCAAGGTCACCGTACAGGACAGCTAGAACAATCAGTTCAAACAATATAAACAATAGAGTACAATACAAACTTTAAAAATGCAATCAGGTCAAAGAGAATAGGCTGTTCTAAACAGATTTGCATTGAGTTTGGATTTAAAATGTGAAAGAGAGTCTAAATCAAGGAGATCAGAAGGAAGTGAATTCCAAAGCTGAGGAGCAGAGTGGCTGAAGTATCTGCTCCCCATGGTGACAAGGCGGATAGATGGAACAGTGAGGTGAATGGAAGAAGAAGACCTGAGTGTTCGAGAAGGTGTGGCGATATGAACAAGATTAGCAAGGTATGGTGGAGTGAGATTGTGGATGGCTTTCAAAGTAAGAGGAAGTATTTTATAATTAATTCTGAAAAAGATGGGAAGCCGGTGAAGCTGTTGTAGAATTGGTGTGATGTGACAGACAGAGGGGGTTTTTGTGATAATACAGGCTGCAGCGTTTTGTACCAGTTGTAATTTATGAAGAGTTTTTTTAGGGAGGCCTAACAGAAGAAAAATTACAGTAATCTAAACGGGATGTGACTAAACTATGAACAAGAACGTCAGCGTGTGGTGTGGGGGAAGGACGTAAACGATTTATATTTCGAAGGTGGAAATAAGCGGACCGGGTGACATTATTAACATGTGCAGTGAATGAAAGGGAGCTGTCGAAGATTATACACAAAATCATTTTAACTAAATATCATTACACGCAAAAGTTTGAAAAAGAAAAAAACACTACAAAAAGTACCGATAAGAGAACCGTTAAAGTACCAAACCGATAAGTGGTATCAATAAAAGTAGTAATACCATTAAAACCTTAACAAAACCCATCCCAAGGTGCTATCATGTCAACATTGGCCAAAAAGGAATGTTTCCAGCACCTTGTTGAATCTATGCCACGAAGGATTAAGGCAGTCCTGAAAGCAAAAGCGGGTCCAACCTGGTACAAGTCAGGTGTACCTAATAAAGAGTGTACATCTTTAAAGGTGCAGTAGGTGATTGTCTTCAGAAACATTTGTTGTTGTGCTGGTTGAAAGTCTCTTCACAGTCCAATAGTAATGATTACAGTAAATGATCTAAATGTGTTTATATGTATTTTTATATTTAGGGTAAAGCATAAAGGTCAGATTGTCTGTCAGCAAATGTAGATTCCGACTTCAGCGCATCTGTTCAAACAGATCCGCCATTAGCGCGTGCCCGTCTGCATCACAAACGCATGCGCGCAAGCGAGCTGTGGGCCGCTCGCAGATGCTGAGTCGGAGCCGGAGGCGCTGAATGACAGCCGAGCTCGGGCCGATTACTGTAAAGCCAGGCGCGGGTATAATTCGCCCTTAAAGCGGCCGTGCGTTCACGAGACGGACCGGGAGAAATCAAATGCTGCATTGAAACTTTTGAAAATCCTGAATCAGTATTGGAGTTACTTTAGCATGCTGGAGGAAGGACGACACCATGGCTGAAGTATTACTGTTAGACAGGTAATGTTCTGTTTTGAAACTATTTTATGTTAGATTGTGTTCTGTTATGAATGTCTTCTATGCACAGACGTGTTGTTCAGCCACTGAAATCTCCCAGTGAAAGATTGATGTGATTATTTTCAGTTTCATAAGGTTCTTTGACAGCATCTATAATGTAGATTTATATTTAGTTTAACAACAAAACACCAGTAAATAGCGCTATTCCGCCTAGCCTGCTTTACTGAGCTGAAGTTGCTTTTATATTCACATTGGGTCATTTTTGAACAATGACAGCCTTCCTATACTGTTTACCGCTAACGTTACTCTGAATATTCGCTCTGAAATAGCATGCAAGTGTGGCAAAGTAATACATGTAATTCCTGCACGGCGCTGGCACTAACTAACTGGCGAATGACATGAACTGGTGGGTTGTCTGTCGGCTGTTGTGACGCGGTCCGCGCGCTCGCGATATCAGGGGGTGTGGCTTTGAATCACAGCCCCTCCCCGCCGTCCAAAGATAATATGCTAAGCGGTTAGCATTTTGGATCACCTACTGCACCTTTAAGTAATGTAGTGATGCGTTTCTAATTAAGTAATTCATATTATCCTTAGTTTGTAGAGTTTCTTCAGTAGTATCATTACTGTTACACAAGTAAAAACCATTTAACATGCAGAATGTTAAATGTTCCTATACTTATCACACTAGAGGGAAGACATCAGATATTCAGGTTTGGAATTCTGTTATGAAATGAGTTTACATTTAAAACATCACTTGCCTTTTTGTCCCACTGTTGATGAAGATAACGCAAAAGAATGTTTGTCTTCTCAGTGACGATGACTGTGAGGGAAACAACCTAAAATTAGGCTTCAGACTGAAACTACAGGTGTAAAGACTTTCAGTTTTATTATCCGAGTCTACATTTTATTTAAACCCGCTTACTCTGTTCAGAGGGATACTCTCGTGTAGGCAGATACACTGACGGTCTTCTGTTCTGTAAAGCAGGAAAAAGGGACTGTTAAAGCCTGAATAACACACATCACAGTTGCAGTGTGAAGATGCTCACTGAATATTTAAAAAGACGATGCTTATGAGAACCCTGCAAACCGAATTATTTGGGATGATAAATCTTACCGATGCTTTGCATACGGAGTCCGCATGAAATCTGCTGAAGTTTGTCTTGTTATACACTGGTAGTCCTTTCAAGAAATCTGCCTTCAAAGTGTTCAGAGATAAAAAAAAAGAGGTTAAAATAAATGATTATTTAAAATATACAAAAAATGCATAAACATTTAACAGTACTTTGTCACATAAAATTTTTATCACTTATTCTTCAGTTACATTGCGGTAAATTTTTCGTCTTTGCGGTTTTATATTCGCACATTTATTCAGTGCCATGGTCTCTAATATGTTTACTATGGTACTTTGAATATTCAGACTGAAATTACATGCAAGTATGACTTCAAGGGCACCTATTTTACACCTTTTTTAAGATTTAAGACAATCTTTTGCGTCTCAACACAACTATCAGATTATTTATTATGCCTTTTAGAACATGGAAATTTTCACTATGTAGCTGTTTTGTGGCCTGTGCCTTTAATTTTAGTTCTTCCCGCCCACCGTTCCCACATGTCTGTCATGCTGTGTTCCCACCAGACGCAGTATGAACATTTTGAGTTTACTCGCTTCATTCACACAGAAAATTCACTTCACAATAGACGCGGACCCGAGCTTCGATGCTAAATGG